ACACACACACACACACACACACACACTCCTTTTAAGATTTGCCCGGTGGCATATTCATTGAGTGGCAGAGCCATCAAGGGCTACATGCCCATCCAGTTGGAGACACATGTTAAAGTTGTAAGGAACTGATACTAATAAGTCTTGTGAACAGACATGGAAAATACTTTCACTAAGATGCTAAAACCAAGTCCCAGTCCACAGAAGAGGGCATGGTTTTCATAGGTGGATATGGCTTGAACTGGAAATCCATAAAGCATGCTGGGTGGTGAGCCAGGTTTCTTTTTTTCTTTTTCTTTAAAGATGTAGCAATACACAAAAAGGAAAAATCCTAGCACTATGGAAAACTGGCCTACAAGTTAGCATCACTTAATTTTGCAATCTAGTTTAAATCCCAGTCTCACTGTGTATTAATGTGTTCCTTTTTGCAAGTTACTCAACTTCCCTTTGCCTTAGTTTCCTCATCCATGTGAAGGACGTGACAATCCTTTTCTCCCCGCTTCCCGTATGCACACACACTCACACACCCTTCATACCGGTAACAAGCTTTGTGTTTAAGGCACGGAGACAAAGGGCCACCACCTACACTGTGTGAGGGAGCCAACCACAAGGGCAGAGGGCTAGGAGAGGCCATCTCTGGTACAACTTTGCCCCTGGAAACACGCCTTCTTACACTTTTGAGGTATCCTTTCTTAGGAACTTTGTGAAGCAGAGTGAGCAGTGTCTACTGACTTAGTGCTGGGGCAGTGCTGAAGTTTTTGACCCCACTCTTACCACAGGCAGCCGACAGAACTAGGGGAAGGGTAGCTGGACCCGCAGTAAAGACCCCGTGGTCCTACAGGCAATGCAAATGGCTCTTCCTGCTCCTCTGGCCACCTTCAGCTCTGCCGCAGTGCTTACATCCAGACAGCAAAGTGGGAAGAGTAGAAAGCTGAGGTGTCAACAGTATTATTCATTCCAGTCCCTGTTCAAGCAACAGCTTTTACAGAAAGCAGTTTTGAAGTAGCTGGCATTAACTGCTGCTCAAAGTCACATGCCGGAACACTGGCTGCCCGGTTTTTCTATTGGAACCCACTAAACAAATCTATCATTGTGTTAGCACAGACTTGGGCATTGGGCATCATCATGTCTCCCATACTCCAAGTTTGACCAATTTCCTTTGGTCAAAAAGTGTTAGTTGCAAATACTTAAGAGACTCCTGCGTCACCTACCTGCAGGGCCCGTCCTTTGGTCTCAATGGGGAGGGTAAATGCAGAAATGGCACACACAACACAGACAGATGAGAAGAGACACAGGGCCCCCAGGAAGGATGCACTCATAAGAACCTGCAAACCACAAGGAACGACTCAGCTTGCTGTGCCCCAGTCACTTTTAAACTGACCTTTATGTCAAAGGGAAAATAAGGACTCACCTCACCAGATACATAAATGAAGGTGCTTTGCACCCATTCTGCAAATTGTGCTTTCCTAACATCCTGTATCTGTTATTTATTTGGGCCAAACTGTTGTAGGCATTTTGTGTGACTCTCCCACGAGCTGGGAGTGACATCTACATGCACTGGCCAGGTTAGACATCTCCCTGCACCCACCCCTCGGGCATCTTCAGAGCAAAGCTGTACCCTATCCGCCTGTTTTCCCAGCCTTTTCATACCAATTCACTTTGCTTAACTTGTAACCAGCCCTCTCCTTTCATGCAGTACCACTTCTGCCAAAAGTCTACTTTCCCTCTTCAGTTCTGACCAGGATGAACCAGGAGGAAGTTCTGGGGGAGTAGATGTCATCTCATAGCCTCTAAAATGATAACATGTCTGCGTTCATGACGCTTCATGGGTCACAACCAGTCAAAACTTACTGTGGAAAATGGACACTAAGCAGTGGATTTCTGCCAATTTACATATCTGAATAATCTCCTTTAGCCTGGGTCTTCTCATCCTGATACTGGCTAGTCTACACCCTCCACCTCACACATCAGTTTCCCTAGGGCTGTACCCAAAGTTAGCAAAAAACCAAGCACTTGGAAGTTGTCAACTAATCTCGTAAGGATGGTTAACTGAAAGGATGAAGGAAGGCTCTCTAGAGTCACAGGATATTGCAGCTGGGAGACACCTAGAAACCATTTGGTCTGGCCCAACCTCTTCATTTTACAGTTGAGCCTAGAGTAGGAGCTAAGTGACTAGTCCAAAGTTAGAGAAAGATCCCTGCCACATAGGCAAACAGAACACATGATGTTAACCACATTAACTATTTTGTAGTTGACCTGGCAAGTAATAGGCATTCCTTCCTGATTTTTACCTCCCAAAATAAGTTACAACCTTCCCCAAACAGAAGTTTGGGAAACCAGACTCAAAACGGGCAGAAACCTAACGGAGACCAGACACAGTCAGGCAGGTATCGATTCCGCCACGGCTGCCACTTCTGTTTTGACACCAAAATTCTCACCACCAGCAGGATGAATTCTCCACTCTCTCTACTTCATATCCTTTGCGCCAGATTCACAGTCTGAGGTTATGTGAGACAGACCCTGATGGGTTGAGTTTATGTCACAAAACCGCTCCACCAGCTGGGATCAGGGAGAGCAATTGCTTCCTAGGGATAGAGGGCTCTGCTTCCTTGCAGGACTCTAGCAGTCCGGTCAGTGTTACGGGATGTTCTTCCAATAAACTCCTTTCTGTCTAAGTTGACCAAAGTCAATGTCTATTGTTTGCAAGCAAGATCTCTGAGTAATACCTAATTATAAAAATCTGGCCAAAGAGGAAATGCAGAATGCCAACAGGCACATGAACAGGAAAGGTGCTCAACATCGCTCATCACCAGGGAAATGCAAATCAAAACCACAGTGCAGTATCACCTCACACCATCAGAATGGCTTTCATCAAAAATAACACAAATAAATGTTGGTGAGGATGTGGAGAAAAGGGAGCCCTCCTATACTGCTGGTAAGAATGTAAATTAGTGCAGCCACTATGGAAAACAGTACGGAGGTTTCTCAAAAAACTAAAAATACAACTACTGCTTGACCCAGCAATTCCATCGCCCCTCAGTGCCCCCCCCCCAAAAAAACCTTAGATGAAAATTTTGTTGAAATGCTTATTTTCAGGCCCCACTCCAGATTCACTGTACCAAAACAAAGATCTGTGTCATCTCTACTTCTAGAAATCAGCCCAGACCAAGGACGAAAAGGGATATTACATAACGATAAAAGGTTCAATCCAATGAGACAACAATCCTAAAGACTGATCCACCAATGAGCTTCAAATCACATCCTTTCAGTAAAAACTGAAAGGAGAAATCTACATGTATTTGGAGACTCCAATGCCCCGACTTCAACAATTCACAGAACTACTGGACAGAAATTCAGTGGGATATAGGACTTTATGACGTCATCACATCAACCAACAGATCTCATCGACCTTTACAGAACACCCCACCCAGCAGACAGCAGCAAGCACATTCTTTTCCACCCGTTGACCTTCACCAGGATAGACTTCATTCTGGGCCATAAAATGAACCTCACAGGATTTAAAAGAATACAAATCATAGAATGTGATCTCTGACTAAAATGGTTATCAACCCTAGAAATAACAAAGTTAACAGCAAAATCTCCAAACACTCCTAGACAATCCACGGGTCAAAGTCTCAAGAAAAATAAAAACTAACATTGAATGTCATGAAAATACAGCATACTAGGTTTGTGGGACATACCTAGTAGGAACAAAAATAAAATACTCAGGAGTAAACAAATATAAAAGACATATAAGAGGAAAATGAAAACTCTACTAAGGGACATAAAAAATGGAATAAATCTGTTCAGTTCTTAGAAAAAGGCAGGGTTTAAAAAAAAAGTTCTCAAAGTAATGTATAGTAACTAACAGATTCTTGATCAAAATCCCAGTAGGAGTTTTGAGTCGATTGGGGTAAAAAATTGATCGTGAAGTTAATATGAAAGCATCAACATTTAAGAAAAATCAAGAAACTTCTGGAAACGTGAGTGAGGGAGTCTGAGGGAGGTTACTAGCCTAAGAGGCACTAAACAAGTTCCAGTCGTTGGCAGTGTGATATCCGTGCCAAAACAGGTCATTGGAACAGTCAGTCACACAACAGGCCCAAGGAGCTGGAAATCTGGCGTATTGTAACAGCAGCGTGGTGAGTCAATTGAGGGGAGCCAGACAAAAGGGTGATTAATCGTCTGGAACAATCAGCCCAGCATTGTTTTGTTGCTTTTTAAAGCTGGATCCCTACCTCAGGCCTTCAGCATAAATTGTGAATAAATTAAAGAATTTAGTGTTTTAGATAAAACATTGAAAGCCTTTGAACTTTCGATGTTTTAGGAATATTCTGAGAGATGTGGCTTAATGAGTGATGAAGGCCATTAAGTGACACAAAACACTAACTCCTTAAGTGAAAATAATTAGTAAATTGACTACAAAATTTTTTAAAGTTTTATATGCCAAAAATTTGAATAGCATCATAAGGCAGACCACAAGCAATGAAAAGGTATCTATAGTGTAGTAAATAAATAGCTAATGGCCTATAGAAAATTTGCAAATCACATAAATGAGCAACTTACAAAAAAATACAAATGGATACTAAACAGATGAAAGACGTTCAGCCTTACTAAGATCAAAGTGCAAATTAAGATACAATTTATTGTCTACCATATTGAAAAAGTTTTTTAAAAAGGGGGCATCTGGTGATGATGGAAGCAGGGACGCTTGTTTAAGAATGTGTTAATAATAAGGTTATATCAAGGAGTGTGTAAATTTTCTAAAGAAAAATAACTTGATAAGATCCATCATAGTTTAAAATATGTACACCTTTGACCTAAAAATTATTCAACAGACTTTTTCTACATAAGGATGCTCTTCCTTAGACATACTCCATTGTCACTCCCATGTCTCTGCCATATTGTAGACGCCCTCCCTAAGCACCCTATATAGCAGACCCACCCCCGTCACTCTCTCCTTTCCCTGTTGTACATGTATTTATATCATTAATCATATCAAACATATTAGCAAACTGTCCCTTGTCCATTCTCCACTAGAATGTCACTTCAAAGAATCTGGGACCTTGGTTTGTACAGTATTCGGAGCATAAAAGAGCTCAGTGACTAACACAGTTGCACAGGTACAAAGGTGTGTGCATGATGTTAGTGCCCCATTGTTTATAAAAGCAGAAAGAAAGAACATAGAAACTCCTCCAACCAGGTGATGGCTGTCTAACCATGCACATCCCTGCAATGGGAGTCTACACGCCTACTTATACGAACAAGGTTGCTCTACACGTACTAACATAAAATGATTACTAATGAGAAAAGGCAGTTGCAATATGTAAATATACGTAGATGCGTGTGGATAGATGTGTGTGCGTGTGTGTATGTTTGAGCACAGGCCTGTCTACATATGTGCTCAGCTAGTGTAAAAAGGAGTGTGACTCCGCCTGCTGACTGCTGACAGCCTTTGAACCTTGTCCCTCCCTCTGCCCCTTGTACCCCAATTTCTGGACAAACTGATACGAAAGCCTGGGTGCTTCATCCTTTGGTGCCAGCAGGAGAGTCAAACCACACAAGCCTCTGCCCTAGTGCAGGAACCCTCACCCTGACCGCAAGAAAAACCCCAGCCAGTCCCCTTGCCTGCTCTCTCAGGCCATTTCCCTCCTGCCTGAGAGGGCTTTCCCGCTCTCCCAGAGACCTCAACTATGTAATTAAGCAGGAAACCTCTCATACCTTCTTGGTGTGTCTACATGTCATCAGTCTTGACATCTGACCCCAAATAGGGGGAGTGCCATCTTTCTGCAGGTGACCATACACGTAGCTACACTGAATGATGTAGATATTCATGGAAGTAAGTATATCTACATATATACAAGCCTTTCTGTATAATCCACACAAGCATATGTGTACAGCACTGGTCTATTACTGTACACAGATACACCAAGAGAGACAAATAATATATGCATAAAAAAGCATCTGGAAGAATATACTCCAAACCACTAAAAGATATAGTGGCTATCTCTGGTGATAGAATTAGAGAATTTTTCCTTTCTCAGTTACACATTGTATTTGAGTTTTTACAAGCAGGTAGCAGTGCAAGATGGGGGCCTCACTGCTAGAGCCCTGGAAACCATGTTGAGGGTTTTGGTCTTGATCTTTGAAGGACAAGGGCAAGAGGATAAAGGGTTTAAGCACAAAAACAGTATGAGATCGGCTGGGATGCAGTAAGGAAAATGCGCTGACGGAGGCTCACCCAGGAGGAGACCAGGCAGGACACTACTCAGCCGTCCAACAAAAGGTGCTGGAAGTTTGAAGCAGAGTGGTGCTGGCGGTGGGA